CAACTACCTGTGCAGTGCTACCACACCAGGCGTAAGTTTCCTTATAACAGTTGTTTACTTTCTGCTTTGGTTGTTTTGCATATGTCTAACTTTGTATTTCTGTTTGCAGGTGGTTAAGTTGCAAGAACCGTACGAAGTGTATATTAAAGAATCTGATTTGAACGATGCACTCAGTAACTCAGGATCTGTTACTCAGTTTATCAGACAACTTACCCCTAAAGTGTACACTCAGGATGCACTTGTCAATGCTACACCATTAGGTTATCCAGATAGATCCAAGGGACGCAAGCACTGTGGTGCAGCACTTCCAAGACTTCACCCCGATGGCCGCTCAGCAATATTGGGTAAGTCTTCTAATTTAATCTGAAGATTTCAAATCTAATGCCAGGTGTTTTGATTTTGTCTCAGTGAATGACAATCTGATTGTCAATGTATCTTGTGAACTAAAACTGTATTTTGTGTTAACTATTTTACCCTTCTTTTGTAATTCCAGAACGAGCCAGGAACCTGGAGAATGAGAAGAAAAGCTGGCGTCCCCGTGTTGGAGAGGCCAAGATAAAGAATTCTTTTTCCAACATTGTCCACAAGTTCAAGGATGATGGTTCGTAACCTGCTGTTCTCATCATAGTTGCTACTTGGGTCCCCTCTCCCCTAATTGTTTGTTTTATTTTGAAGTGTGGAGAATTCTATACATTTGCTTACGATTGCGATGGCTCGGACACCTAAGTAGTAACTCTTCACTTCCCACTTCACTTCTTCAGTTCCCTTAGTTTGGGTGCGTCAATGATTATTTTTATTTTGTTTACTTCTCTAATTTGATCTCAATATTCAAGGTGTATTTATTTCCTTCAAATACCTTACCTTGGAAGAATGTTTAATTTGTTTAATTTTTTATTGAGACTGATCTCCTTCGATCTTAGTACTGTTACCTACCTAGCTTTTAAAAACTACAGTACACAGCTCAGTTGAGAGTTTATATTTTCTTTTATCGATATCTTTTCTGAGATATCTTATCTGGTCTCATTATTCAAGGTGTATTTATTTCCTTTAAATACCTTACCTTGGGAGAATGTTTAATTTTTTATTGAGACTGTTTGATCTCCTTGGATCTTAATACTGGTACCTGACTAGCTTTTAAAAACTTCAGGTCACAGCTTAGTTGAATTTATATCTTGTTTTATCAATATCTTTCCTGAGATCTTATCCGGTCTCAGTATTCAAGGTGTATTTGGAAGAAGGTTTAATTTGTTTAATTTTTATTGAGACTGTTTGATCTCATTTGATCTTAATACTCTGTTACCTGACTAGCTTTTAAAAAACTACAGTACACAGGTGGGAGTTTAAATGTTCTTTTATTGCTATCTTTCCTGAGATATCTCTTTTGTAATAAACATTGTTTCTTAGCAAATTTAATTTTTTAGTGCTTCTCAATCCCTGCCATTCCCTTCCACATTTATCTATGTTTATCTGCTGTTTATCTACACCACTCATTTTAGATCAATACTAGTTCCACTGATGGCCTTTATCTAATAAGACAACATATATATCTACTTTTATCTATTTTTATTTGGTATTACACTACTTTTGATATACTTCAATCAAATTTTTCTTTGATAAAGCTTTATTTAAGGGACAGAATTGTATCTATTTTAATCAAAATTGAACTAAATTTATCTGTTGGTTATTTCTGACGCATAGGGCAAGAGAGTTGGATTGACACACATCTAAATGCACTTTAGTTCCAACTCCAAACAACTAGATCTAATGCTAAATAAACCTATATCACTTCAAATATAAATCCAATACACCAAGATTGATATAAATTATATTTAGAAATTATCAAATATTTATTTGTTTTTATCAAAGCCAATTCTCAAGGGTGGGGTCATGGAAGAGTCGAATTTAATTGTCATTGTGCCAACTAAATGGCTTACCGAGCCACTCAAAGAGTTTACTAGCACCCGTTATCCACCTGACAAGGGATGGCCACCAAAGGGAAACAGAAGTGCTCAGTTAAGGGCAAGGGTGTCAAAACTCACTGACGCCGATCCTCATTGGGAC